TGGCGAAGATATATATGGAAAAATCACGGAGAGTATGATGGGGGAAATATCTTCACAATTATTAACTCCAACTATTATTAATCGTTTATCTTTTGGAAAAATAAAACTCGCTTTGAAACTCAGAAAAATTAAATCTAGAGTCATGAAACCTGCTGAATGAAACCTACCGCAAAAATCCCAAATTGTAGAGATGTAAAATCAGTGGCGATTTCTCTTAACAACAAAGTGGGACAATTTTTTACCTGATGGCATTCCTACAAATGGGATAGATTTCTGGTGCAAGGTCACAACAATTAAAAATGCAGGTGGTGATCTTGCTTTTAAGGAATTGTCTCAGTTTGGATTAAATATGTATAGTTTACCGATTAGCAATGCCATAGTTGAGAGAGTGTTTTCAAGGGTAACAACAACAAAAACCAAACTTTGAAACAGAATGGGACTTGAACTTTCATCATCAATTCTTTGAGTTAAAATGATGTTTGAAGATAGAAATATATGTTGCTATGATTTTATACCATCAGTTAAAATGCTCCAATTTAATTGATCGATTTATCGTGGGAAATCATCTACAGAGGAAAATGAATAGGTAGATCACATATTTTCGGTTATGCAATTCTAATATCTTGTACTACAATAATTTAGCATTTTTAGTGGGTTAACTTAGTCAAAAGAATAAGCTAATGTGTTAAGACGAATATTTCAAAAATTTCTGCAATTTTTTCCTTCTTTTCTAAATTAAATGTTACAGAAAAATATTTTTTTTTAAATAATTAATTACAAAATTTAAAAAAATACTTTGATTAATAGTATCTTTTTCTACAGAAGTACCTAGCTTTTTAATTAATAAAAAAAGATTACGAAAAAATAATATTTCTTATGCAAAACAAAGCATATTTTGATTCACAACCAGGATAGTAACTTTGATAGGAGATTGAAAAGTGGGGTTACTTTTTCAGACAGATTTTTACGCATAAAAAAGCTTGAAAAAAAGTGCTAACCAATATTATAATAATTTTAGTGTTTTTCATATAATGCGTTCTTTCAATTTAACCCTTTCAGCAAAACAAATCACAAATGAATTCGGGAGACTCCGCAAACTTGCTACGATACAACCCAAAATATAGCAGACGGCGCTGTTTTACAGAATTATAGCCAAATAAATTAGAACACTCAAAACATAGCTAACTTTACACTTTAATATACTTATCTCGTAACTGCTTTGGGTGTTTTTTTTTTTTTAATGTTTTAATGTTATACATTAAAAATTATGACTTAACACAAATACTGTAAAATGTTTTATAAAAAAATTACTGGTACAAATTTTTTCTTCTATTTATTGATTTAAAAATATATTTCAAATGGACCAAGATAAGAAAGAAAAAAAACTCGTTTCAGCAGTCTCACGCTTTTTTATAACATTATTTGTTGTGTAAAAAATAATTTTTAAAAAATGACTAAATTAATTTTACCAATTTTTTTTAAATGAAAACTGAGAACGACGAGAGGGATACAACGAGACCTGTCGGACATTTTGAAATTGAAATCAATTTGGCAAAACTACGTAGCTGCAGATAGTGGTTCATATGTTAATAACTATATATTTTTTTTATTATTTATAAACAAATTTCTTATTTCTGAAGTAATTATAAAAAAATGGAATTAAACTATTAATGAGCTAGACATATAAATATTAAAAGTAAATTGTTGAAATAATTTTAACTAAGTATAAGCTACAATTTTCAAAAAATCTACACAATCACTAAAATTTACATTTTTTCTGAAGATCAATTTTTAAAAAAATTTTCATTTTTATAACTTATAAAATTATTTAAACACTTTATTTACATTTTATTTAAATCAATCATATGCGTGATCAACAGGGGTGAAAGCGAGACGGAAACGAGGAAAGGCTGGTAGTAAAACCTNAAAAAATTTTTCATTTTTATAACTTATAAAAATATTTAAACACTTTATTTACATTTTATTTAAATCGATCATATGCGTGATCAAGCAAGTCTCTCTTTCATAGCTCACGGTATCGTGTATGAGAAGAGCTTTTCTGTCTCCAACGGCCCATGACCACACAGATTTGATCTCAATCTGGTACTCTCATATTACATCTCGTATTATTACGTATACATACAATGAGTAAAAAAATAAACGGTCCAGCATGAATTACTTTTCATCTAATGATTGGATCTTCGTGGTAGAGGTAGGCATCATTATAGTGTGTGGTATTATTATTACCCCTTGCTATTTCAAAAATAATATATAATTCCTTGATGACTTAGTATAAAAATATGTAATTTTTAGCAAAAACTTGACAAATTTTTTACCAAAACTAGTGTCTTTATTGTCTTGTCAAAAAAACTAGTGTCTTGTCAAAATTAACTAGTGTCTTTCAGACCTCTCGAACTAATTTTTTTTCCTTTATAGACTAAGACAAAAAATGTATGCTATTTTTATAAAAATTTTTACAAGCTTTTTCCCAATTATAAGTTTTAAAGGTAGACTATAAAAGAAAGCTGTCACCTAACTAAGGCAAAAAGCAAAGTGATTTATATCCGAGATACCCCGCTTCAAGATATCAAAATGTCTTTGGAACTAGAAGAAGCACTGTTGCGTTTGACTGTTTTTGGAATTTCTTTGTCAATAAAGATGACACGATTCACTCCATCCATAAACAACTGTCTCACGATAAAAATGTAGTACCTGACCTTCCTCTCTGCTAATTATTTCCTGTCTGCTGCATACTATTATGCTAGAGAACAGTTAAAGATCAAAGTTGATACAAAAGTTAAAAGGGAATTTGATAAAACATTGAATTAAAAGAGAACAAAAGAAAATGTAATCACAAATCGCACAAAATTTTACTTTTTTTCTTACTTACATTTTATTAGACTAATAATATACTACACATAACATTTTATTTTTTATGAATTTTCAAAATATGCAATAATTTGTAATTTGAAAAATTAGTGTACCTTTTTTTTCAATTTTTGTATAAGTACGTAAGGACTTCAAAAACATTAATTTTCTAAATATCGAAACCGATGCATTAAAGTTAGTGGAAAAAAAATTCTGAACAATGAAGTTTTAATATATTAATTTTTGTCTTCGATAACCAGTAACCTTATCATTAATGAATGAGTGTCCGAGTTCTAACTAAGCACAAAAAAAATTCAACCTTTGCCCCCCCCCCCCCCAAAAGAATTTATTAATTTGTGAAAAAGTGACGATATTTTTAAAATGCTTAATGGAATACATTTTTTTGAATTAAATTGTTTTGTATTCATCAAAAATGTTGACGTTTTAAAATAGTAATATGATTTAGTTTTTCAAGCAATAAGTAGAATGAGTGTAAAAAAAATAAAAAGTAACATAGAAAAGAACCGCCATTTTTGTTTACTGATAAAATTTGTGTAGTGCGCAAAAAAGCACCTTAAATAACTTTTCACCATTCTAAGTCTCAATCTTAAAGGTTCGAGGGGGAATTAATTAATTAGGACTACCTAATTAATTAGGACTAATTAATAATGCAGGGATCAGAAGTCCGAATCCTTCGAAAAAAAGGTATGTTATTAAGAAATAGTACCTTTTTGTATCTGATTTCGTAACTCAAAATGTCGTCGCACTAATTAATTAGCATATTTGACCATTAAGATTGAGTCCGATCATTCGATCAAAAGTTATTGAGGGTGTTTCGTTTTTTTATTTTATTTTGAGCACTGTACATGGGTTATCATCATTAGATATTTTCAGTAATTATCAATGCAAAAAATATTTTAACTGAGGCATTTAGTTAAAATCGCGAATGAGCAAAATAATAATTGATAGACTTGAAAATTTTAATCAGCACAACTAAAAACACTTCAGGCGCTCAGTTGTGTCGATGCTATAAACAAGCTTCTTCAACAGCACAAAGGCTAAGAATGAAAGACAAAAAATAAAGCGAAAATATCAGTTTATTAAAGTCGACATAAAAAAAATAATGACCATGGGATTCCTCACAATAATATATGTAAGGAATTAACACCGCCATCACGGCCTCCAGCAACACTTTTAATCTCACTTTAATAATTTAATTTACACTATATAATCTTTTATTAGTCCTTTGCACTGCTTAGATTTTAAAAAGATTAGATTTCGATAATTTTTTTTTCTTCTGTTAATCAGCTAAATTGCTCTTACTTTAAAGGCACTTCAGGAAGTTTTCCTTCTTAAAGTCTAATACAGATAGATCAGTGACCACGAATGATTTTTACTTATTTTTAGGTCAGAGTTAGTTCATAACACTGCTAGTTTTTATTGCATACATATCATTTATGTTTAACGCAGTATAATTTCTGCCGGCTTTTGCATCATACTAGAAATCTACATTCATTGCTTACATTCTAGGATACTTACTAATCCACTGAAAGCTGTCGACTGACAAGTAGATAGTAATAAATTATTATCTAACTAATTATTATTCAATTATCTTCTAATTAATTATTATCTTACGTCAGTGCGAACTTTTGTAAAATGGAAAAACTACATGAACCATTAAACATCTTTGCCTGTTGATGAACCGTACCAACTGAATGTTCTTGACTTTTCCGTTTGTGTTTTCTATCTATGTTTCCTCTAAATGGGATACTACCGGTAAACATATAACAGTTGAAATAATAAAATGAAACGCAAAACATTTTACTGATTAATGTTTATCCTTTTCGTAACGAGTGCCGTATTTAGCGTTTCTAACGTTGCTTCCTAGTTTTCTGTTCAACTAGTTCACTGAGAGCATTACCTCATATCAACTCAACTCACGTACTAGTATTACCCTCCATTTCAGCACTCCAAATCAATTCTTTTCTATTGAATAATTCTATCAGTTTTATCAAACTGGATTTTATGAAACATTCGATAGTAAATAATCGTTAATTGTTTTCTTTAAAGTAGTGCAATTTTTCGTCTATGTGCGAATTTTTATAAACTAAAAAGACTATTTTGATTTTTAGGAAGAAAAGTCTATACTGTGTTAGAGAAAATGTGGCTGTTTTGGATCGTTTCCATTTTCTCCTCTGTAGTTTACATATGTTGTCAAGATGGGGCATTCGAACCTCCGGAGGATGACTGGGTTCCACCCTCAACAACCACAATCGCTCCAACTGAGCCACCCCATGTATTTTGTCCTACAGACATCTTAACAACTTATCCGTGCACTTGTGAAAAAGGAGGAACAGAAGGCCTCACACTACACTGCGAAAATGCCAACTTGGCGATGATGGCATTGGGCCTCGGCAATGTAAAAGGTAAATTGATCAACAGTCTTTTAATGACAAGAAATTACGTGAGAAGGTTAAAAGGAAGTGTTCTTCACAATATTACCATTTCAAATTTAGAAGTCAGTTATAATAAGATCGAGGACATAGACGGCGATGTTTTTGATACACTTGGAGAAAGTCTTGTAACATTAAATTTGGAAGGAAACAATTTAAAAAATGTTCCATCCGCGATAAACAAACTATCGAAGTTACAATACTTGAATCTTGCCAACAACCAACTTACTGTACTACCAGCAAATGCTTTTAGTGGCCTCCCTAGTGTCAAAGAATTGAGATTAGATGGTAACAAAATCAATAAAATATTTCCTGGTGCTTTTAATAACATTCTGAGATCATTGGACAAGCTTCATTTGCAGCATAATAAGATTCAGAAATTTGAGAGAAATGTTTTCAAACAAATGGTAAAACTTAAATACCTGGACATATCATATAATGATTTCAGCAAATTCGCCAAAACAGATTTTACAGATCTCACTTTTCTGTGGTTTCTTAATGTTTCAAATAACCACTTGAATGAATTTCCCCGTTCAGCTTTAACAAGAAATGCTCAGCTAAGAGTTCTTAATGCTTCCAACAATAATTTGAAGGAGATTGACGCTTATTTGCTGAGAGGTTTGCGGTTGCTTCGAGATTTATATTTAGCTGGCAATAAGATTAAAACTATTGCTCAAAGAGCTTTAATTACGCCTACTCGTTTAAGAACTCTAGATTTGGCTAGAAATTCGATGCAAGATATTGGATACGAGATGTTTAAAGACATGAACTGGCTAGAAAGGTTGGATCTAAGTTATAATAAAATATCGAGAATAGCAAGTAACAGTTTCATTAGGATGTTTCAAGTTGTAGTCGATTTAAGTCATAACAACATTAGTTTTATAGGGAAGGGTGCATTCGTTGAAATGTCTAATGTTACTGTTTTTGATTTATCTTATAATTCTATTTCAGAAATTGCTCCAGAAACGTTCCAAAACAGTGACGTCAATGAGTTGCGCCTAGATTACAATAACATAACAGATCTATCCAAAGTCCTCATAACGAATTTAACCGGAATAAAAATTTTCAACGTCACTCACAACAAAATCGATAAAATAGACAGGAAATCGTTTTCAAAGAAGAAACTTTACGAACTCCACACCATAGATCTTAGTTACAATAATATCACAGAAGTTAGTGGTAATGCATTCGAAAAGTTTGGCAGCATACGAAATATTATAATGCATCATAATAAAATACGAAAAATAGGATATGGTAGTTTTGGTACAATATCGACATTGCTTGAAATCGACATCAGCCATAATAATATTTCGGAAGTGACGTCAGGAGGCTTTACAAGCTTAGTATCATTGCGCATGTTGTATATCAATGATAACTTCCTCAGAACGATGTTCGTTGTTCCCATAGCCCTAAATGAAGTGCATATTGAAAATAACACTATTACAAGGATACCTCCTGGCATATTCCCTGCTATGAATTCATTATTACATCTATATTTAGATTACAACAACATAACTCGACTAGAAAGAGGTTCTTTTCGCGGATTACTGACACTGAGGACACTATCCTTAGGGTACAACAATATATCCGAAATTCCATGGGAATCTTTGGAGGATATGAGTTCCCTTCAGTATCTCTATCTGCATGGTAACCATATCACCAGGCTTAATAGAAAAGCGTTCGGAAATTTACCCGTTGTCTTCGAAGTCCGTTTGGATTTTAACAACCTCCAAAACGTGAGTTCTTACGCTTTTGAAGGCATGCTGCAATTGATATCGTTAAACATGAGCTATAATAATATTTCATCAATTCCACCGTCTGCCTTCACGAAGCTTGTGTCACTGCAGAAGTTGGATATCTCGCACAATCGTGTGTCGTCTCTCGAAAATAAAACAAACGGTATTCTGGAAGATTTGTTATCTCTCGAAGTCTTTAATGCTTCGTACAATCACTTGTCATTCATATCAGACAGGTCCTTTCCCAAATCTCCATGGATTCCTTACAAAATCAAACACATAGACCTGAGTCACAACTTTATCCCCGTTATAACGAAGACTTTTGATGATGGCATGACCAAAGTCGAAGTTCTTAAGTTGCAGAATAATATACTAAATGAGATAAGGCCGGAAGTACTTTCGAATCTCACATATCTCCGTCATCTCGACCTGTCCGGCAACGAACTTCCGAAGTTACCGAAAGGAACATTTGGACTTAATCTAAAGGATCTGGAAGAGTTGAATCTTAGTAATAATCGATTAGGATCCATAGATGTTGAGGAAGTTTTGTCCATGAAGAAATTGCAATTATTGGATCTGAGAGAAAACCGCTTTGCGACTTTTTATGAAGAGCTTATTCCTCTGATGAAAGAAAATTTCACTCTCCTGTTTAAAGGTAATTGTTTCATTTTACTAAGATTTCTTATATTATGCAATAATTTAAGAATACTAGCTTGATTTTATTCAGGGTTTAATTTGTAGTTTTCATCTACATATAAAAATCTTATGATGCTGTCACAATTTTCCTCTGTTATCGGTATATTTTTGCTTGCCGGAAAATCTACAGTAAAGTATTTTTCGTCAAATGTTCTTATCTTACTCCACTTTTATTGCGTTATAGATTTTGATTATTTTCTAAATTAAGGGTTTAAAACTAAAACAGTGGTTACTTTATATCGTGATTGTACGATATTACTTTCTCATGCTACATTTTGAAATAAACTTATTTGAAACAGTGTTTAAACTTATTAACAGTTTTACAATAATTGTTTTTTGGTGTAAATAACATTAATATATTATTATTGCTAAAAAGATTCATTAAATGATTTAGAACTAAACTATCAATTTCATGACCACTGTGATGTATGCACAAATTGTAGTTAATATATCAGCCGGTTTGTTAAGCAAAAATATTAAATTACGGTAGTGAACTCTCCAAATTTATCGCAGTTAACTTTATTAAATATAAACTTTATTAAAAAATATTTAAAAAATTTAAATTTTAAGAAATTTAAATATTTTTAAAATTTTTAAGAATCATTAACCAAAATTATTTAAATTTATTAATAGTTCTTAACGGAATCATAAGGGGAATAGAACAATACAAAATCTTTTATACTATTTACCCGTCAAATTTGACTGCTGAAAATAAACATTTAATTTTAAAAAAATAAACGTTGCACTCGGGAAGTAATGCCACAAGTGAACAGAAGCAAACAGAATATATTTTAAGTGAATAATTTCAACTTTCTAAAAAAGAAATCTTTTTTAGACAAAGAAATAACAATTATAGCATAGGATGCTACTTTTGATGCATCCGGCATCTTACTCTTCATTTAATCTAATTTAAACCTATGTTTATTTTCATTCCATACTGTATACAGGTGGTCTGTTTATACGGTCCAAATTGTTGGACCGGCGCTGATTGAAATTGATGGAAACTTGTTTTGCTTGGAGCTTGGATCGCGTAAACGATCATTTAAGGTAGTTTTTCGAAGGCTCTGTAGTCGCATAAGTTAAGAGATTTAATCTATTGGCATAAGGATTTAATCTATTACAGCAACAAAAATTTTTATAATTCACCTACTCTAATTTGTGGGGATTTTAATGCTCATCATGACTTCTGGGGATATAACAACAGTGATGCCAGGGGCGATGCTTTACTGGATTTCATAACATCTAATGATTTGAAAATTCTTAATACCCAGCCCGCGACACCGACATTTGTAACCTCCTTAACTTCATCATTTCCTGATCTTACTTTAACAAATAATCCAGATGTTTTAACATCCACAACATGGAATGTAATGGATATAAACAGTAATTCTGACCATATGTACATATTAATCCAAGTAAATAACACATTCTCTTTTTCCTCATTCACGCGATTCAAAACGAAATACGGAAATCACAATAAGTTCAGAAAAGTTTTTTCTACTTTTAACCTAGACCTAATAGATGATTTAAATACAATACAAAATCATTCAGAACTAAACAATTTTACGAANACAGAATATCTTTTAAGTAAATAATTTCAACTTTCTTAAAAAAAAAATAAATAAATAAATAAAAAACCCTTTTTAGACTAAGAAATAACAACTAAAGCGTAGGAGGATGCTATTTTTCATGCTTGCGGCATCTTACTCTCAATCTCCATTCAATCCAATTTAAACCTATGTTTGTTTTCATTCCATACTACATACTACATATTCCATACTATATACAGGTGGTCTGTTTATACGGTTCAAATTGGTCCCGCAGTGGACTGATCGTTAAGACACGGTTCCCAGCAGATCACCGAAGTCAAGCATCACTGGCTGCGGTCAGTGCGCGGGTGGGTGACCACTTAGATCAGTCTGCGTAGGGACCGAGGGTTCTAAGCATAATGTTCCTTTTTTTTTCAAAACCTATTTAGGCCTAATTGAATAGGCGAAGAACTATTTGACTCAACAAAATGTACTAACTATTGATTCTTGAATGTGTCAAACTTTCTTTACTTGGAATATATATTTATTTATATTTAATAACCGTTGTTGAACAGCCGACCCAATTTTATGGGCTTACGACTACTAACGTTAAACTCCGTAACCTTGTAATTTCGAACCCAATTCAGAAGGCCAGAGAACTCCTAGATCGAGTATAGGGAGAAATTTGCCTTCGCGGAGGACTTTTTAATGGAACTAACTCGCATTTGCGTTACATGGAGAGGAAAGCCGTATAAACCTCCCATAGTTAGCCTGACGACAAGGAGACTCTAACCCATTAATTGTCTACGATGCGAGCTGGGTGCTGAATTCGCATCAACCAACCCTCGCTGGGATTCGAACCTAGGGTCACCTCATTGGAAGGCGAGTGCTTTATGCCCTGAGCCACCATGACTCGATATTACATATTAGTGTTATTTTCTAATAATATAGTAAAACTATTTTAATTTAGATATATTTTATAAAAATAAAAGCATTTCCACAACTGCCAGTTTGTCAGCCAGGTATGGAATATAAGTGAAAGATTCATCGAGACAAAACGGCATAATGACAGCATTGGTATTTGATTTTCACAAATAAACAGATGATATATATTTACCCTATTTGGCAGTATCTTTGGCAGGCCGTTACCTAATCACAATTTGAGAGCGATAAAGCGCGCTATATTTTAGATTCCGTAGTAATTTTTTCTGTCAACAGTTTTCAACAGTTTTAATCAACAGTTTTTGATAGTTGAAAAGTTAACAGTTGCCTGTTTTCAGGTTTTTGAGAAGTATCTTTGTTTTTTATGTAATTAACGTTAAAAGAATATTTTAGCGTCATCTAAATCAGTTTTCATATGTTTAAAGTTTAAAATGTAATAAAATTAGATTTTAAAAAATCTAAAAACCGAAGAAACCTGTAGTTTTAATGACTTACTCAAAACTACAGGTCGCATCATTTTATTAATTTGGAGTTTTGAGGAAAAGAGCATAGAAGCTCCAAAAATTACCAAGCGCCATTTCTCCTAATCTAACTAAGCGACCCTTTTATTTTCTACCTTTTTCGTAAGGTATTGTGTTGTCTAATAACACTATATCATCAAAACCTTAAATACAAAAAAAATATCGCGAAAACGCGAATAAAAAATTTACCCTAAAATCCAACATGTAGAGACCTCTTAACTATTGCGCAATCGTGACTCATCTACTTTATTACACTGAAGTATTGTTCTTTATGTTTCTGTATTGTTCTTATGTCCCGCTTCATTTTTCAGGAAATCCTTTGATTTGCAACTGCCACATACGTCCTCTACGTGTATGGATCAGTAACCAACCGGACATTTCCGCCTGGAACCCAGTAGCTTGCCATCAGCCACCGTGGCTCGAAGGAAGAGGAATACCAACATTAGATTTGGAAGAATTAAACTGTAAAGGAATGACGCAAAAAGCCGAATTGCCTGTGAAACCAGACATTAAGATAAGAGGCAGCGAGGTGCTGAAAGACCACGGATTACGAGTGGTGTGGTACGTTGCAACGAGAGAAGATGTGGCAGGATTCAAAGCCACTTTGCGAAACAAAACTGGAATCTTGGTGACTCAGCAAGAAATGTCCTACAACGACAGAGAATACGTGTTTAGAGATTTAGAGGCAGAAGAAAAATATGAACTATGCTTGACTGCAGTGGATTCATTAGGTTCTGAAAGGCAAGCATTTAAATCTCAATGTACTGAAGTAGGTCCAGTTGGATTGGCTCTGAGACACAACATTGAGAACTACTGTTTAATTTTGCCAATATGCATTGCAATGAGCTTGTTCCTAAAACGTTATCTGTGATATTTTTTAACATGTTTTTATTATAAACATTGAATTATTTTGTACACACATTTACTTTTTATGACGAAAATAATCAATAAAAATAATTATAATTACGTTGCATTTTGTTTTGCTGCTCAAAATCTATGAGATTTAAACATTTGAAACCGCGAAGTTGTGTAGAAAAATGTACATGCATCAAAAAGAAAAGGAAAAAATATCACCCAAAATAATTTTTGATCTAACGATCGGATCTTCATGTTCTAGAACTCAATGAGGTAAACACCTTGAAGGCTCGATGAGGTAACCACCTCAAATATATTAATCAGTGCAGACTATATTTTAAGTTGTGATATCCGGCACAAAAACGAACTTCAGATTTGTAAGTCCCTAAATATTAAAGGTAGCCAAGATCTGGGAGATGTCCAAATAATTTGGTCCGAATAGCGGTCCAAAGTTAATGTTAAGTTTACTTTTTGAGTACTTCACCATGTCTCTGGAACTTTTTTTGCGAATTGAAAAATTTTTGCACACAATTATAAAATTCGTTTATCTAAAGATAACTCAATGCAAGAAATAATTTTTAATAATTATTTATTACTTTATTTCCTAATAATGGTTGAAAAACTTTTAACTATATGCAATTTTTTACATCATTTTAAAGATAGTGATTTTATGTGGCAAAATACAAAATTTGAGCGAAATTGGTCAGAGAAATCTTAAAATTATATTTGTCTTATTTTTAAAATTAGATTTCTCAGGAACTATTTGACCGATTTCATACAAAGTTAGTATTTTGTCATGTAAAATTACTTTTTTTTAACATGATGTGAAAAATTTTATACCTTAGGACTCAAACGTTTTGGACTATTGGCAAATAAAATAATAAATATTTACTTCCTTTGCGAGTTTCTTATCCGTTGATTTTGTACCAAACGCAGTTTGTAACATTGTTTTACTTTGTTGTGTCATTAAATTCTACAGTTTGCTCATTAAATTTTACAATTCGACTCTGACTCCAAGGAAAATAAAAAAAGCCACAGTTTAAGTGTCTTACACTTGAAGCAAAACGGTGGTTTTAAATTATATATATATATATNAACGGACGAGTAACTTTAATATTTTTAAAGTGACTTTTTCAAAAATCACCAATTTGGTGACATTTTACCACCTAGATGAAAATTATCAAAATTACTTATTCTCAGTTATTAATAATCAAAATTACTTATTCTCAGCCATCAATAATCAAAATCACTTATTCTCAGTTATCAGTAATCAAAATCACTTATTCTCAGTTGTTAATAATCGATTTACTTGTTCTCAGGTATCAATAATCAAAATCACTTATTCTGAATTATTAATAATCAAAATCACTTATTCTCTGTTTTTGCAAATTTGTATGTACCCAGTTAATGCGGTATTAAGGTAGGTTTTTGAACCTTAAGATATTGGACCACAAGCGCTTCTCATTTCTACAAAACTGTAACTTTTCTCCATATTGACGTTTTGCGCCATTCCCAGAATAAGCGTAGACAGCGCTAGGTTTAAATAGGCTTAACTTATCCTAACAGTTATGAGTAACTGTTGTAAGCTCACGGCGGTTATGAAAATAGCAAATTACTCGCATAAAAGCGTCATTTCATAAGACGATGAAGCCTTCCAAAAACAACTTTATAGCTTTTTTTTCTTCTTTTTTTTGATATATTCATAAGCATAAGTGTTCTGAGAGTGTAGATATTTGAGAAAGTCACTGCATATTATTAGCATTAATATCCTAACATTAAATAACTACAGCTTCACTTCGAAATTTATATTTATATAAAGAAATTTGATTATACACCTTTAAAGGATAAAGCACGAAAAAAAAATTTTGCTAAGAACTAAACTGAACCTAAGCTTTTTATTAGACGATTTACAAGAGAAAAATATTGTTTAACTTGTATAAACTTTCGAGCTTTGCTATTAAAAGCTTTCACAAATTTTAATCAAACAATGTTTTCCACAAAATTTTACTTTTACAAATACTGGGGTAACTGTAGATAAATATAGGTGAATAATTTAACTAAAATATAAAACTTTTTTTAATAGCTTAAATTGACCGGTACAGAAACTGAGAAGACTGATTTGTGCTCGAGATCGCTCAAAAAACTTAGCACTAACAAGCGCTTGATTAAAATAAAACAAACTTCATAGAAATTGGATTCACTTTACTTTTATTTGGAGGAAATGTATCGTCCTACCGAACAGTTAAAATTTAACAGTTCTCGAATTTCGATAGTTGTGCTTAACCTTTTCGGGATGGGCTAGTCATAAATATATTCGTATGGAATCAGAAACAGAATGGAATAAAATAAAAAGCGGTAGTTTAAATTTTGGCCTGGCTACTTTGACTACCTTATTTTTGCTTTCACTTTAAATCTAATACATCCAATCTGTGTTTGTTAAATGAGTAGCTATATAAATTTTCATTTAAACTTGACTACCAGTTTTATCTTTTTTAACGTGATTGTCGCCACCCTGGGAATGCATATATGACTCTCCGCTCTCGAAGAAATTAAAAACTTTTGAATTTGTTGAGGAAAGAAAATTTTCTCTTATATCAATATATGTCTTCGAATTTGTCAGAAAACAAGTCGTCGAATTTTATATTCAGGGAAATATCAACAGCAAAAAATGACAAAAGTCATTGTTTTATCAAACAGGAAAATTCTGTCTTACAGAGAATATAAGCAACAACCAAGCAAGTACCATGATAAAACTATATAGAAATTCCATACTCGCCTGAAAATAATTTTAAAAAAAATAAACTAATAATCATATACTCTAGTTTTACAAATGTTAAACAAATGCAGAATATCATGCATCAAAACTGCTTGGTTATGAAATGAAGTTTGATGAAGAAGGTTCGGCATCTGATGATGCTTGCGATTCATTTAAACAAAAACAAAAAAAACTTTATTACACACGCAAATTAATATTTTACATAAATATATGGATGTCCTCGAATCATAAAAATTTTTCGAGCATGCTCTGCTGATTTGATCTCAAATCACCAAATGATCCGCAGCGTGGAAGTAGCGGGTTCAAATTCCTCTGTACAGCTCTTCTCTGATTTGTGCTATCAGTCTTCCTTCTACTTGCCCATAGAATCGTAAGCTGTTTCTTGTATTGAACACACAACCCTGCGTTTGTATGTGAATAAATAGTTTCATTAATTTATTTTCATTTTTTTTTTATTTATTGATTGATTCATTTATATAAAGTAGCGTCCAGGCTTTTACGGCGTGACAGTTTCTAAGTTCGGTACGGATTTTAAATTATCAGTATGTACGTTGAAATTAATTCTACTTCAATTATGCAAGTGCTGTAACGTTTGTAAGTGTTGGGATTCTTCAATGATTTTAGTGGGAACTTTCTGGGGGGGGGGTGGCACTGTAGTTAAAAATTTCGTTACTTATTTTCGTGCATAAGTTTTTATACGCAATTCAAGAACCGCTCGTTAAGCTGAAAAACAGTGTAAAGAACTGTACACGATGCAATATGGGAATTAAAGAAAATACAGATGATTACGGTGGTAATCGAACCTTGTTACATTTCCCTCTTCGAAGTTTTAGACGCTAGTCATGGAATTAGCAGATGATAAGTTTATGTTACCGTGTTCTTTCATTAATTAATTTATTATTTATTTATCACTTTATCATTCACCATTTTTTTTTATTTAATTTTTTGTAAAAAATTAGCGCGTGCGGAGTTAAATTAATTTAGTAAGCATTATTTCAGATAGTGTAAATTTCTGAGATAGTGTAAATTTCCAGAACCATAGTTCTATCAACTATGGTTCTGGAAAATGATAAATATTCTACAGTAATTAATGCAGAAATTGGAGAGTAAAAAATATGTATCACTTCAAATTTATTATTAATTAGGTTCTGGAAAATGATAAATATTCTACAGTAATTAATGCAGAAATTGGAGAGTAAAAAATATGTATCACTTCAAATTTATAGGCTTAGAATATATTTTCCATACTTTGTAATATAAATCTGGCACTTTCCCCTTCAATATAAACTTCAACTTTTATGTTTAGCATTATGTTCACAAGCTTGCATGTGTATGTATCAAATAATACCATGGATTTTGCATAAAAATTACATTCGTATAGCAAATTTCATCTTTACTGAACTAGTGCAGGAAATCCCGTCTTCAAGAAGCAAAAAGTTATTCTCCCTCTGTGATCAGGAAGGGAAAAAAATGGCATTACAGTTATTCTACAAATAATCTTTGCCCTGATTTTTTTGTTTCACCCGTGTTTATGATTTATACAAATTTCGTCTTAGTATTTTCAAAGTACAAAAATACATGGAACTATAATAGCATCCTATAGAAAGACATAAATAGATGTTTGTGATAGCCATTGTCCTTTCTGTTTTCCTCAACGACAACAACTCAGAATTCAAGGAACATTACTTACAAGCAGTCCTGAATCTTTACAGGCTATAAGATGTAAGTATTAGCAAAATTCCCCAACAAAAATTATAATATTAAAAAAAGCATGAATCAATGCATGCAATCTTTAAGGAGTAAAAAAAATTCGAATTGGCAAACATACTCGTATATATACTCAGTATATTATCCTTACTATAATACAAATATATACTCAGAATATTATCCATACTATTATCGATAAAGATTAAAAATAAAAAAATTAAATCAGAAAATCATTTTTGTTAAGTGCTGAAATGCAAAACATTTGACAACTTTTACTAGATTTATATTTAAATGACGCTTAAGTTTTGTGTCATCATGACGTTTAAGTTTTTCCTAAAAGCTTTTAGAAAAATTGAATACCATTTATAGATTTCAAGAAGTCTTTTGATTCCTGCCACGAAATATATTGAAATAAACTTAAATTTAGAATATTTTAAGTGAGATTAAAGTTAATAAAAATGAGAACTTTTTAATTAACTGAAAACAATTATAAATAGACTTAATTTCGAACTGTTTCATATCGTAACTTGTATTTTCATTTTAGGAAACTTCTAGTACTTAAACTGTACAATAGATGGCGCTACCAAATACTTTTGTCATGCATGCAGATTAAGGATAAATGAAT